TGTAATTTTCATCATTTTATTAGGTCGAAATTTTACATTCGAAAAAGTCATATCCCATTTAAATTTTGGATGTAAAATTACATGGAGTATGATTTTTTTTGGACGTAAATTTTTTATTGTAAAATTTCTCTCAACTTCTTTACAAGTTTGATTGTGCCCCCCAACGTTAAAGTTCTGAGTCCGCCCTTGGGCTTACCGACATCGATTGGTAGGTTGTCCAACTACGAGAAGTATTACAGGATTTAATGTGTTTCTTTGGGCTAACTGTATTTATTAGTGCTCGAGAAAGCAACTGAAAGTGGCTAGCTCAACTACCGAAGCGGTGAATCGTTCAGTGGCTTCCACACCAACCGAGTTAACCTGGTTAACATTTTTATTGCGAGATATCCACCTCAACTGTTTTGTGAATATACTAGTGCCCTTCATATGTTTGTTAATCCAATATTCCATGCTTGTTTGAAACACATCGAGCTCGACTACAACTTGGTTCGCGAGAAAGTTGCAATGGGGACTCTTGTTGCTCGGTACATTTCATCCTCTTCTCAACCTGCTGTTATCTTCACCTAGCCATTGCCTAATGATGCGTTTCAGTTGTTACGAACCAAGCTTGGTTTTCATTCACACTCACACTCCAGCTTGATAAGGAAAACATTAGGCAAGGCAGAGTTAACTACTTTAAATGAATCTAACGGCTCTTGAATCCCGTCATGAATTCTGGGTTGCAATGGCACTGGCCTACTTGCTTGTACAATTTTTTTTTTTTTTAATAATGAATGACTGTCGGTAAACTATTGTGTTTTGTGAATTTTACGAAATTCGTGGATAAAAGTGATTTCATCAAAATTATTTTTTGACCAAAATAAACCAAAGTACCCAAGCACAGTTGTAGCAGAACAACGACATTCCTCACTTATTGTAACATAATAATTGCTTGTAAAAAGAGAAATGCTATTCATCCCCAGTCTATGTGGCGTTAATGTGGCATTAAATGAGAGATGAAATTAAATAAGTCATTTAATTTCACATATCATTTACATTCACATAGACTGGAGATATATCCCCATTAGGGATGAATAGCATTTTTCTTGTAAAAATAATACAACTTGTGAGCCCATAGCACGTGATGGATAACAACCAATCTCCGATTATTGATAATAATGCTTAATTCCTTGTTTTTTGAAATTTGAACAGCAAACATTAATTCTTAGTACTACAAACAAATTGAGGGTTATTTATTTCAATATATTTCTCATGATAAATATATACGGAAGGATAAAAAATACGTCGAAAAAGGTATATGAGTTTAGGTGTTCACCGTCGCAATCTTCTTGGCAAAGATTTATATATGGAATCTGCATAAGAACTTATATTTTTCTGAAGCATGTATATCAAGATTTACATAATGAATTACATCATAACACATAACATTCTACCGTTTGTTTGTTTAAAATCCAATCAACTTTTCCACCCAATCTGTTCCCTCCACGTCATATTATGTAATTCATTATATAATTTTTTTATGTACAAGTAGCAAGATGCAATGAATAATTATTGCATCGATAAGAGAAAAGGAGAGTAAATTATCAAATTAGACGTATAGCTAGATTTAGCGTTGGTAAAGCTCGTGTTTGTTAAAAGGTGAATTAAACTTTATAATTTTTAATCACATATTCATTGGACTCACAATTTTTATTCATTTTTTAATCATACATTTTAGAGAATTTTAAGCTTTTATGAGTTTATCTACTTTTATCAATATCACATAGCTCTCTAAATAGAAATCAATGCGCCGTTCTAACATACTGGCCTTTGAATGAAGAAACCTGATGCATTGTCCGCAGGTAAAAGTTGGTGTAGTGGCAGCTAGCTAGCTAGCTATACACTAAAATGTACAATACTAGAATAGCTGTTGCACTTACCCAATTAACACACAAGTTTAGGTTAGAATATTTTCTATTTCAATGTCATTGCAAATAAAAGTGAAAAAGAAAAGAAAAAAAAAAAACAGGTCATTGATTGTGACAGTAGAAGTCGAATTATAAAAATTTATTCATGGCCAATATTTATGTATTAGTCGTCAAAGTTTCGTGTTTGGGTAAGTAATTAGTACTTGCATCTAAATAAGTCACCTTTTTTACTTTAATCTAAAAAGAAATATTTGTCCAAGCAAGTATAAAATAAATTATCTAAAGATTTGTGTAAATTACTTTTAAGCTTAGTCAAACTTGTTCTTCGACGTACTTACGTCGTCATGTAAGTACAAACTATCTGTAAATTTAGAGTTGCCCACCATACAGGAGAGGAGGTGATAGAAGCTCTTCAATGAATATACAACATGATTCCCCTCATATGGGTAATAGCACTAATATTGGCCAGAATTCTGTTTTTGCACCCAAAGTTTCTAATTTTTAACATTTTTCATTTCGGTCCTTGACCTTCCAAAGTTGGTCATTTTGGTCCCCAACTCGAATTTACTACTCTCTTTTTTCCCCTAGGATTCATTGTTCCATCTTCTTGACCTTTTTTGTCGACCTCGCACTATTACATTGTTTATCGTCCAAAGTCTTGATCTACCTAACAACCAACATCATTATTAATTGAATTTTTGTACTTAGACCGTCATCTAAATTTGAGGTCCAAAATAAGTGACATTACTCCTCCATTTAATCATCTCATCTGCCAACCCTGAGACTCTCTTTCAAAGTCTTTATATCCCCATTCAATTCACTCTAACACACACACATAGCCAATCCCCCGAAAAAGGAAAAAGGAGATCCAGAATGCCTCCCAAACAACAGGAATTCTCTCAATCCGTCAAGCTCAAGTATGTGAAACTAGGATATCAATACCTAGTAAACAACATTCTTACTTTCTTGCTGATTCCTATAATGATTGCTCTTTTTCTTGAAGCCCTTCGTTCAAATCCAGAAGAAATCATAAGCATATGGAACTCGCTCCATTTCACCCTTGTCCAAATCATCTGTTCTTCATTTCTCATCATCTATACTGCTACCTACTTCCTCATGTCAAGGCCAAGAACCGTGTATCTCGTAGATTATGCTTTGTTTAAGCCTCCACAATGCTTTCGAGTCTCCTTTGCAGGTTTGATTAAATGCGTAATTGTGTTATCTCTCTTCTACTAGTTTCTTTTTGCTGTGTTCATTGATGTGTAAAGTATATTTTCCCTACAGGTTTTATGGAACACGCAAGACTGGCATTACCAACAGAGCCGAAGAGCGTGCATTTTCAAATGAAAATCTTGGAGCGGTCCGGTTTGGGCGAAGAAACCTGTTTGCCTCCAGCCATACACTATATCCCACCAGTTACAACCATGGAACTTGCAAAAGAGGAAGCTGAACTTGTTATTTTCTCATGCATGGATTCACTTTTGCAGAAGACAAGAATTAAGCCAAAAGATATAGATATACTGGTCGTAAATTGCAGCCTCTTTTCTCCAACTCCATCTTTATCAGCCATGGTAATTAACAAATACAAATTGAGAAGCAACATTAAGAGCTTTAACCTATCAGGAATGGGATGTAGTGCAGGTTTAATATCTGTAGATTTAGCCAAGGATCTTCTTCAAGTTCATCCCAACTCAAATGCTGTGGTTATAAGCACTGAAATTCTCACACCAAATTCCTATCTTGGAAAAGAAAGGGCTATGCTTCTGCCCAACTGCTTGTTCAGAATGGGTGGAGCCGCCATTCTTTTATCAAACAAGTGGTCCGTAAGTTCACGAGCCAAATATCGTTTAGTCCACGTGGTTAGAACCCATAAAGGTGCAGACGATAAAGCTTACAAATGTGTCTCTCAGGAGGAAGATCCTGACGGTCATGTGGGGATAAATTTGTCCATAGATCTCATGGCAATAGCTGGGGAGGCCTTAAAGTCTAATATCACTACAATTGGCCCTCTCGTTCTTCCTGCATCAGAACAACTTCTCTTTCTTTTGGCTCTAGTTGGTAAAAAAGTTTTCAACTCAAAGTTGAAGCCATATATTCCCGACTTCAAGCAGGCCTTTGAGCACTTCTGTATCCATGCCGGGGGACGAGCGGTGATTGATGAGCTGCAGAAGAACCTCGATCTCTCAGCCGAGCACGTGGAGGCGTCAAGAATGACACTGTATAGGTTTGGGAATACTTCTTCTTCCTCATTGTGGTATGAATTGAGCTATATTGAGGCCAAAGGAAGAATGAAAAAGGGCGATCGAATTTGGCAGATTGCATTCGGAAGTGGATTCAAGTGTAACAGTGCAGTTTGGAAGTGCAATCGAACCATAAAGGGTCCACCAGAAGAAGCCTGGGCCGATTGCATTCACAAGTACCCAGTACATATTCCAGAGGTGGTAAAGCTCTAGGAAAGAAGATGATGATGTTATTCAATTAATAAACTTATTAAGTCAAGAAGTTGCATGCATTTAGCCCCTCTCTCCCTTCTTTCCTTTATCTTCCTCATTCGAGTGTTCTTAGACAGTACTGGGATTTGGAGCAAGAAAGGTGTGTATCAAGATTAACAAAAACAACGTTTAATGAATACACATGATTTTTGCTTGACTTGATATGTGTTAAGTCAAACAATTGACTAGAGGCCGGAGGGAAATTGTACTATGCCGATTAGAACAAATGAAGTCTACTTCTTTAGCGTCTCTATAATTCTATTTATGGAGTGTGTTTGTTTGTATTATGTTCTATTTTGGCCATTTATAAAGTGGTTTATTTTAAAAATATTTAAAAAGTCTTTCCGCCTTTTATGAAAAGGCTAAATATATTTACATAATATTTTTTTAATAAATAGACTACATTTTAATTGCATGAAATATTCTTAACTGTTACTTGCACATTATCAAATTTATTTCTCAAACATTTTTAATCGCATTCTTATTCTATGTTCCTGATAATGGTTTCTCTCAAAATTTCCTTTAATATAGAGTAAGATTCCGTTTGACACACCATATTTTTTATGATTTTTTCCATTTTTCAACTTTTGTAGTGTTTGATAGGTAAAATTTTCCTGGCAAAATGTTTTCCAACTTTCCAGATTTTTCACATTTTTGAGGAAAACANAACCATAAAGGGTCCACCAGAAGAACCCTGGGCCGATTGCATTCACAGGTACCCAGTACATATTCCAGAGGTGGTAAAGCTCTAGGAAAGAAGATGATGATGTTATTCAATTAATAAACTTATTTAGTCAAGAAGTTGCATGCATTTAGCCCCTCTCTCCCTTCGTTCCTTCATCTTCCTCATTCGAGTGTTCTTAGACAGTACTGGGATTTGGAGCAAGAAAGGTGTGTATCAAGATTAACAAAAACAACGTTTAATGAATACGCATGATTTTTGCTTGACTTGATTGTCAAGCAACTCCAAAATTGACTAGAGGCCGGAGGGAAATTGTACTATGCCGATTAGAACAAATGAAGTCTACTTCTTTAGCGTTTCATTGTATTCCTCATCTCTATAATCTAGTGTAATTTCCTCTTCTATAATTTATGGAGTGTGTTTGTTTGTTCTATTTTGGCCATTTGTATAGTGTGGTTTATTTTAAAAATATTTAAAAAGTCTTTCCGCCTTTTATGAAAAGGCTAAATATATTTACATAATATTTTTGAGTGGTGCTATGTGTACATTAAGGGATCCATATTTTTTTAATAACTAGGCTACATTTTAATTGCATGAAATATTCTTAACTGTTGCTTACACATTATCAAATTTATTTCTCAAACTTTTTTTATCGCATTCTTATTCTCTGTTCCTGATAATGGTTTCTCTCAAATTTTCCTTTAATATAGAGTAAGACTCTATTTGATACACCATATTTTCTATGATTTTTTCCATTTTTCAACTTTTGTAGTATTTGATAGAAAAATTTTCCTCGGAAAATGTTTTCCAACTTTCCAGATTTTTCACATTTTTGAGAAAAACAAATTCTTGATATCTTGGTTAGTAAATAGTTTCTAGATTTTTTATTTTTTATTTTTTTTGACAATTGAAAAAAATTCTAGATACAATGATAAAAAAATTTATTACTTTTATTGACAATTTTCATGTAAAACAAAACCAAACGAATAGTATTCGGTATAGTAATTTTTTTTCAATTTTTTTTTGGATAATTGAAATAAATTTTAGACCCAATGGTAGAAAAAATTATCACTTTAATGGACAATTTTCATAAAAAAAAAGGAAACCAAACGGATACCAAACTTTCAACATTTTCTATGAAAAATTATACTAATCAAACACAATTAATTACAATTCTCAATAAAACAATTTCTAAGGAAAAAAATTCCCTGCAAAAAAAATTCTTTCTACCCATTTTTCACATTTACAATCAAATGGACCATAAATAAAAATATTATGAAGAAAAAATTAATAAAATAAATGCGATAATAAATAAAAGTCAATGACTTTTAATGTAAGTAAAATATCATGTATTTGTAAAAACACGTTGTCTGAATATAACCATGAAAATTTTAGGATTTTGCTACTCTTACTGCCTTGCTTCACATTTCGATTCACAACTTTTTAAATTTACAGATGTGACAGTGCATAGTGTTAGGAAGATCCAAAGCTTTTTTCGCCAGCCGCCCCCACCCCACCCCACCCCACCCCACCCCAGTTATTACTTATTGCCCTCATGTAAATAATGTTTCTTTTTTTGTTTTTATCTCAATTTTTGAAATTATTATGGGAATGCTAAATAAAGTCAAAATATTACATTTTTAATATATATCAAAATGCAAACGACCTAATTTTGCCCATCTCTAACGATGTGCGAAACGGCCAATTGTATTAAAAGTAGCACAGTCAAAGTAAGACGTTCCAAAATATAT